TAGGCACTTCAGAGTGCGAGTTATCTGACCTTGGGGCGTTTAAAAATAGGATACTTAATTGATTCTCTCTTTCCGGTGCTAAAATGCTTTCATAGCTCTTTTGTTCCTTCTTATTTGAATTTCACAACTTATAACACACTCTTTCCTCCTACGGTGTAAAAATTGAAGTAAGAAATGCAAAAATAATTGTTTAGCGCCTACAACTTTATTGTGTGAGCCTTCATGTGCAGTCAGCTCCAACCACTAACATATATTTTCGAAAGGTACAAACAGAGAGACGTATCTGTCTTCTTTACGATGTTTTGCAATAACAATCTTTCTTTTTTGGGTCTTGTCAAAACAAAATATCCACAATACGCTTCATACTGCTTCCTTCCCATCAACTTCGGTTTCCTCACTACAGAATACATACAGTGCTGAGAAACGTGTACATCGGATGTTCAAATTCTCCATTCCTGAAATTACCAAATAGCACAACCATTCAATCATAAAACCATAAGAACATCAAACCCTAAAAATCGGCTGAGGTGGCTGAGGCCATCAACTTTCACTGCAGTCCCTCTGACCAGGAGGTACTAGGATTCAAGTCCCGACAGTGGCAGTGTGACACTAGCTAGTTACGAGCGAGATTCTTAGCTTTCTGGAATGCAGGCGATGTATGGAGGAGTATTCTAGAGGAGAGCTGCTGTGATCGGTTGTTGTTTGTTTGTTAACAATTCCAAGAGAATACCGCAGCAGTGTTGTCAAAAACGGGCCACGAACCACGCATGATTTTATCTTTCTCATCCTAGTTCTACCCTCACTCAATATTTACACACACTACACGACCACACATGTTGCGAGACTAGGGAGGAGGTTAGAGCATGTCCCGGTTGCGACGGTGCCACGCTGGTGGGAGATGCCTGGATAAGGAAAAACCGACATTTAGGTCGACGTTGAATCTCACCATCCAGCGAGGGAAGAACACCAGCACTTCCTATGATTAAAATGTGCCGCAATAATGAACATCGCAGTTGCCACCCTCGGAAACACGATATCACCGAACTATAAAACCGTAAAAGCTGCAAGACACGAGAAGGATTTATGGTTAAAGTTCGTATTATGATATTAGAATATGTTGTTATAAAGTATTTAAAACTATGTAACACATCACGTGCAAGTTTGTCCAGACGAGAATCAGAAAATGTCGTGTTAAACAATATTATTTATACATATCAGGTGTAAAAGGCCATTCATGGGTAGAATGTGCATTGTTTTGGGGTAAAAATCCCATATTAAAGGCACAATAATGTTTTAAAACAACCATTCTCTACATTCCAAGTTAGCTAATATGATACAGTTGCCTAGTCAACTTCGAGATCTTATAACACTTAGAGAACGAAACGTCTATTTTTTTAATTGTTTTATTATCCTTGTTCGACAAGATATGTTTTTTCAAGGTGTTTAAGGTTACATAATTTACCTAACGTTTTTGAACTATATTTCTATGATCACTGTATGACAACAATAATGTTTGGAACTAACTACTGCTGCTAAGGATACCCAGGTAGGGTCTTTCAGAAAAATACATAAATATTTTGAGTACACATACATTTTGAACCTGGAACGTCTATAATAATAAAAAAATAATAATCATTGTTTAGTTAAAAGATTGGTATTTCATGTAGTGATCACTCCTATTTTAAAATCCTTCCTTTTGCTCTCTAGAAAAAGACTTAGGGCGGTACCCTGCTTGCTTTATTTGCAAAGTGAGCGTTGATTGAGTGAACCAGTGAGAGGAGACGTCCCGCCGACCCCGTGCTTGTGCAACGTCAACCCCCGGGAGGATCCGACTTTCGGTCCGCCGCCCACGCACACGGCGGCAGGCGGCGCCTGTCCCTCGCAGATAGGCGCAGTTGCATCGTCAGCGCCGGAGAAAACTCGTTTATCGCGTTTTGCAACGCGCGCTCAAAGAACCGCAAAGAAATTCACGTGCCGTACACGTGCAGCCGGCAAAGTACTGGAATACACTGACGCCCATGACGGGTGCATTTGCAAGTAGTTGTGAAGAAAAGGTACACTCGTGAATTAAAGTCTTGCGTAGCCATGAAACATGAATTGTAAGGCTACTAAAACGATTAATCTGAAACTGTAATACTGATTATATATAGTTATTATAATTCGAGGAATTTTCTTATATGACAAACCTATTCGCGCACTGTCCTAAAAATCCTCTTCTCTATCGACAACCAAAAAGTTCTAAAACTTCTTTGTAGAAGTGTATCTAATAATAATAACAATAATAATAATAGTAATAAAATTATTATTTTGTTTATTCTCAAAGTTTTTGGTTTCACATGGATACCACACAGATACAATATCAGAGCATGATAACACAGACATATTTAAAATCTACAAAATAAATTAAGGAATTCTAACACATCAACATAAAATAACTGTTTTCAGATTGTAAACATAGAATAGTAGTTTTCAAATGCTAATAACAAATACAATTTCAAGAATGAGCTTTCAAAACCTAGCACATCCTCCCATGAATCTCCTGACTAGTGAGCAGGTGCTGATTATAACAGACTTCTGGAGGCCGATGATAATGCTCTTCTCCAAGGAGAGTTCTTCCAGCGATCTGCAGAGAGTTTTTGGTATCACGCCAGTTGCTGATAGTACAATTGGGATAGTTTTCACTTCTGACACTCGCCATTGTTCTTTTACGGCAAATACTAGTTCTCTGTATTTGTCGATTTTAGTCTGGTATGTTGTCATCATGTTGCTGGTATAAACGACTGCAACATCAATAAACCAAACTTTCTTTGCAGATTTGTCCCAAAGAGTAATATCAGGTCTGTTGTGCTGAATTGTCCTGTCTGTCAGAATGCTGCGGTCCAAGTATAACTTATGTGTCTCATTTTCTAGTACCGCTTCTGGATGATACTGGTAGTATGGTGCATCCACTTTCTGAGGTAGCCTGTGCTTTTTAGCTAGTTTGGAATGGATGATGTGGCTCACTTGATCGTGTCTCACTTTATTGTCAGTAAAAATTATTATTATTATTATTATTATTATTATTATTATTATTATTATTATTATTAAGTCTAAACCAGGGTAAGTAACCAGTTCTGATCGAGCTCGAATTCTTTACGATAGTGTAATCATCATTGATCGAACAGTGGAAGCAAATAGACAAGATTTTATGTTCGATAAACTATCTAAAGCAACATATATTATGTGATCAAAAGTATTCGGACATATAGCTGAAAATTTCTTACCAGTTCCTGGCGCCCTCCATCGGGAATGCTGGCATCTTCCGCAGCAATTCAATATAATTTTATATAGTAATATAGTATTCAGTATAATTTTATTAAACAAGTGTCGCCACCTAAATAATATTATTTTTAACATGATGACAATTTCGACAAAACAACCTGTAACAAGAATTGTACCACATCTGGGTCAATGATCCCCTGCTCGATCAGGTTTTTCGTCCAGTTTCCCTCTTCCTTCGAGCGACTGCTGAGATGGCCACTTGTATTCTTTCTGGACGTAAATGGAACTTCATTGTTTGAGCACGTCTTTTAGAGTTCTGTGGGTTATACAGTTATTCAAATTATTGTTTTCCACATTATCAAGGCAGGAAATCCTCCACGATTCCTTCATGACGGGCCTGAAGACAGATAGTAGAAAAAAGTTATAGCTGATTTGCCTTTGCATATAGTTTTTATTACACTGGAGGGAATTTTTCTTATCAATTCGCCAGAAATGATAATTTTATCTGTATTTAGAATTCAACGTGCATTTGGATTAGGATAGGGATCCCAGAATTCCAGTAAACGAGCACAGAACTCACACACACTCACTTCTCTCCCTAGCATGACTCACTCACTTTTTAACCGTTTTAACGTTAAATAAATAAATAAGTAAATAAATAAGTAAATAAATAAATAAGTAAATAAATAAATAAGTAAATAAATAAATAAATAAGTAAATAAATAAATAAATAAGTAAATAAATAAATTAATTAAATAATCAAGTTCAATTCAATTTCATAACAAGTTCAATCAAACAATCCAGTCACTGCAATGCCATTGACCGGAACTTCGTGTCCAGACGATGGCAGGATTTTCGACACTAGATAGTTAGCAGTGTTGAATTCAGCCACTGTCTGAAGTGGAATTCTAGCGGCTCGAATGGAATACTATATTGCCGTTAAGAGATAAAACAACACATTGACTTCACGTCAACGAAGTTCTATCTTGCCCATAAGATATCACAAAACATAAAATACATATTGAAAATAATTTAAATAATTTCCCTAACGATTAAATTTTGAAAATAACATTGAACCACTGTTTAAAAAATCAGTACTTGATATCGTCTTGCATCAATAAATAATTTCGGTTTCTATAAATCTATTTTATTCTATATATCTTTAATAATGAGTGCAGTTATAATTTACCTCAACTGAGAATCGAACCTGGGGTTGTGCCTTCGAAAACGAGCTCGCTAATCAACGAGCCACCAACAGGATATTTATTATACACACATAAAATTTTCATGTGTGCTCTCTGTTCTCACCCTACCTGCGGGCCTCGTGTCAGAATCTCTTGCCTCACTGGAACGTGTTTTACCTTCACTCCTGAGTGTCTATTGTGAATATCACTCCATTGTTCAGCATCACCTTCCTCCCATTCTTTGGAGACTGTCTATTGCCAATGTACGCATAAGTTTCCCTTTGAGTCGAAACTACCCATTGAAGCATTAATCATCGAATTGCTATGAAGGAGGAAGTAATTTGCATGGTTTATTCAAACCTATAACAATTCATTGCGGTAGCCAAATTTGCATACATAAGTTTTACAAAAGAACAGATTTTTCGATCGGGGGGGGGGATAATGGAAGCGTTTCGGAGCGTTTGGAGCGGAATGGTTTCGAAGCGTGGTATTTTGAGTGTACCAAATCGCTACTCTTACATTCTTATACTTTCATCCAATTGTGAATAGAAAATCATGGAAACCGTCCGAAACCAGAATGAAAGCGTGGATTGCTGTGCAGACGGTGTGCTCGTGATGAAGACGTACGTCTTATACTGGGATTGTACCCCCTTACATCCTCATAATACTCAAAGAAAAGAAAACAGCGTCTATAATCGATGTTGCAATTCCTTTGACACACAACTTGCGGAAGTACGAAGCGAAAAATTTGAGAAAATATGAGAACTAGGCAATTGAATTAAGAACATTTGGAAGTTGCACGAAGTCTCCCATTTCCGAGTGGTCATATCAGTTGAAGGAGTCGCCACCAGGAACTTGGAGAATCTGGAGAATTTAGGTATCATAAATATCTTTGACGAAGTCCACAAAGCTACCCTCCTTCAAACATATCATATTGTCTGAAATTCTTAAATGCGTGGTTTTCCTTTATGCGCAGTCCGAGCCTAGTCCTATAACATCAATTTGACAGGTGAAAATGTTCCCTTCTAAAGAAGAGAAAGCGTGAAAAATCGGTAAAATAAAATAATAATAATAATAATAATAATAATAATAATAATAATAATAATAATAATAATAATATTTAAATAAGATATAATGATAAATATTATTTTTAACACTACAATAAAATTCTCGCTGCAATTGGTTGCAATTCCATGCCAACGAGTTGTCATGGTACAATATAGAAGACATTTGTATTATTTATGTTAACACTATAAAATTGCTGTTACCAAACTGAAATCTAGGATGCGCATGTTCGATTCCCAACTTGGGTTAACTAATACATTTTGAAATCTAGTGTTTGACATTTTCTTCAGGCTTCTTTTCTTTTCGCTTTCCTTTCGTTTGCATACTACGATTCCTTCCTTTCTTTTGGAGTGCCCACCTCAACGGCAAAACCGGCTGCGATAGCTCAGTTGCAACACCGTTGCATCTCCAGTATCCTTGACTTACAAATCCTAGTGTTCCAGTACCGCCCATGACGGATATTCAACTCTTGACACATAGGTTGGTCGAGTTTAACCACTGTTTTGAGTCGAATTCTAGCGGTCGGCTGTTGTGTTCGGTAAATCAACTCCTGGCGAAATACAAAGCAGTACCCTAACAAACGGACCACGGGCCGCGCGCGACCACCCCTCCTTGTTCTTGTCCCCTCCCCTCCGATTACGTAAACACTTACACTTACTTGTACTCCACAAATACACATGTCAAAGGACCAGTGGGAAGCTTGCGTCATGTCCAGGGGTGGGCCGGCACTCCGCTGGGTGAGATACTTTGGGTTAGAATCCCGCACACCACGTTGTTTAGTGTTTGGTTCCACGTTGCAGTTGAGTAGGAACACCGCCACCAACCGGACCTGAACATTAACTCTACTTACGGGACTAATGCCATGCGCTGTTGACACGCACTGAAACACTGACCGCTCCCTGTCTGTAGTGCGTGTGAGCGCTCGTGCGTGTGCGAGTGGGCGAGCCCCGGCTGACCCTGCCCTGGCGCGCGTGTGCTTGCAGAGATCGTGGAGGCGCACATGGCGAACCGCATCGCGTCGCTCATCGGCGTGGAGGGCGGCCACAGCATCGGCAACTCGCTGGCCGTGCTGCGCGTGCTCTACGACCTGGGCGTGCGCTACATGACGCTCACGCACACCTGCAACACGCCCTGGTGAGTGGCTTCTGCCAGTTGACTATACTACTTTACAATTTTTTTATGTTTTCCAGTTCTTTTATTTATTTATTTAATTTATTTAATTTATTTAATTTATTTAATTTATTTAATTTATTTAATTTATTTAATTTATTTAATTTATTTAATTTATTTAATTTATTTAATTTATTTAATTTATTTATTTTAATTTTCATTTATATTTTCAGCCAGCTGCCATCTAATGACTCTGAAAGTACTTTTTTTTTTTTTAAAAAAAATCAGAATTTTTCGGTTTCCTAATAGTAGAACAGAAATATTATTTTATGATTATTAAAGAACAGTAAATCGTCGTCTTAAATGGCAATTTTCGTTGGCAAATTTTGAGCCGTTTTTAAGAACATCACGTTTAAACACTACTGTAAATTTGAATGTTGAACCTCTTTTTCACAGAAAAGTCATTTGAAGCACTTTAATACACAAATACAATAGTATTTACAAATTGCTTTAAATGTGCATATTAACGGCGTGAGAGATGTTAAAAAAAATTACGTTTATGTAATTTTTGGTGAAACAAAATATACCACCAAATGAACTTTATGTCATATTAAAGAGTGCAGTTTGCACTATCCGTTCGAAAAGTTTGAAGAGAAATGCTGGAGCCGCTTTTTTAGAAATGCTGTCTGAGCGTTTGTGAAAATGCAGAATTTTGATCTCATTTTAACAGAAAACTGTCTAGTTTGTTGGAAACTTAATACATTATTTAAAGCACATTTACTCATAAATATAATAAAGTGAACAAATCGCCGCTAATGCAAATATTAACGACGTGTGAGAAAAATTAAAAAATTACGTTTTTGTAATTTTTGCAAATGAAAAGAATAGAGCAAACCGATGTTCGTGCCATCTCATACACTACTGTTACATACACTACTACTACTACTACTCACGCACTATCCCTACCAAAAGCTTAAAAACAATGGAGCCGTTTTCGAGAAAAGCTAGATTTTAGTATTTTTAAAATTGCACAAATGGCACGTGGTATTGCGCGAAAAATATTAATATTTTCAAAATAATGTGTTTGACCGAAATTAAATAACGCAGCATAGAGAACAAATTTTATTTGAAGGAAAAAACAATTTTGTAGTAGTAGGAAGATGCATGAAAAATTTCAAAATTTACAAAATTTCGAAACCAGAGTTAACCCTGAAAATTAGACCTATGCCACCTCTATAAGAGTATTTTACTCTATTTTGACAACTTTCGAGTACCCCCAAATTTTGAAGAAAGTTTTTCTTAATAACAGCGTCTAGAGTCGAGGCAGGTTGACCGGGGGATATCCGCTAGTGGTATTCACAGACGAACTGACGTTTTGAAAAAAAACAACAAAAAAAACACAACTTTTAATCAGGGGACCACAAAACATGTTATATCCTTTGAAATCTCGAAATCGATTTGCTGCAACATTACATAACTTTCTCCGTACTACGTATATTACACCGTGTATACGTATGTATTCGAAAAAGTAAAAAATAGTGCTAAAATCTGCCACATATAGACCCAAAAACTACTATACTGATTTCGCTGAAATGCTCACACTGTGTATCTATTGTATTTGAAGAGTGTTTGAGTTAAACAGGATATGTGGTGGCTTGTTGATTTGCGTTTATGACGATTCCCTCAGTCTTTTGAACAGAAGCGCTATGCAATCCTCCGCGCCGTTAAGTATTAAGTGCGTTTGTGGCTGCATATTCTGCGCCTGCGATTGTGAAATATCGGATGGAAGTTTAACGCCTGATATTACTTGAAGGTTCTACGTCCAAATCAGGAAATGGGAAAAAACACAAATTCGCGAGGAAGTCTTTCAACAGTTAGAATTTTTGGTGACCGTGACGTATATCGTGTTTAGATATCACAATACCATTAGCGTGTAAAGTGTAATACACTGCACTAGCGAAGCATTGCCAAGTTCACCAGTAAATAATAATTACTAGCCACGTTTAAAGGCACGCGTGACTATCGACTGAGCAGGTGACTGAGATGAACACAGAAGGACAACCGAAATTGGCTTCCTGTGTTGAGGATCGGCAAGTTCGGCAATTCTGACGTTTACTGGGGTCGAACTGGTTGTTCGAATGTTGTGATAGATGGTGTGCGTGATTCATTTAATCGCTTTTAGACAAATGCCGGGCAGCAACCTATGTAAGCCTAATGTGCACAGCGCGATATTCATTTTTTTTTTTTACTCTCCATCAATTTGCATTTTTTCGGGTCTGGGATGCGGTGAAAGAATACCGTCCGTACATTCCCTTTTATAACCTGCATACGTTGAAAGAAGAACGGAAGGCAAACTACATTTAGAGTTCAGAAATCAAGTTCGGAACTGTGAAATCATTCCCACGGTAAATAAAGGAAAATAGGACGACATTTCTTCACCTCGATTGTCGTTCTTTAGTTTTTCCTTATCAAGTGAGCAAATGCTGAGATGGTCCCATACTTTGTATCTTTGCTCGACCTCTCCCTCCCCAAATTTCGAAACTGAATTTGTTTTTTGACGTTAAATAAATCACTCAAATATTGACAAATATTCTCAAATTTTAAAACCTTAAATGCCAAATTTCTATTTTTATGGCATTTTTACACTAATGCAATTCATGTATAAATTAACAAATCAAAGTAGATATGTAATTAGGGAATGTCAGTTCTGCAAGAACTTTTCTCTGTTGATTTCTACACAACTAAAATTATTACCTGCAGTTAGGAACGTTCGCCCGTGGTTATACAGTGGTCATTAAACCCGGAGATTCAAGTTAGGACCTGCCAGAGGTGCGTATATTTGGGGGGGAGGGAGAAGAAAAATATGACCATGAAAAGTTTGCGGCAAGTACGGATCCTAATAATCAGGGTACGGAAGAGTCTCATTAATGAATAAGATGTGCACTTTGATCCATCGGAAACCATAGTAACATCATTAATACTTAACCTAACTAACTTACGTAACTAACTACAGTCGTCTCTATGATTCTACGTAAAACTACCCATATCCTGTCCACAGAAGATCTACTTTACGTCAAGTCGAGATATAACTTCACTCTTAGTTGACTTGAAAGTTTTAAAGGTTGTCTACACTATTTACTGACAATTATTATTTTACTGAGATTATTATATCTTAATTTTTCTCAGCAAGAGAGCATTGCAACAGTGGATACACTGACTAAGACCACTGTTACGGCAATGCTTTACGGTGAATAAAAAGCACCTCGATATGCGAATGTAATGGACACGCCTTCATAATTCCTAATTTCGGAGTCTCTGAATAGTATGTAATTAATAAAGGATTAAGCGACATTCATTTTTTTTGACCAACTTTATGTCAGCAACTATATGCACATTTATGCACATTCAGTATGCTCCATTCCTTTGTGATCTGTTGTTTCTGTGACAGATTACTAAGTTGGTATAAAAGAATATAATAAAAATGTGCGAGAATACCCAATGACCCTTCCCATAGTTTTAGAAAATGTCGTGGTTGTTACAAGGCAATTCACCTGGCATGTTGACCGAATACATTTATCATAATTTTGCTTGCCATGAAACTATTCGGATTAAATGTATTAATGTCTGTTGTGTTTTAGGGCGGATTCATCTTCTGTGGCACACATCAGCAAATACCCGGAACACGGAGGATTGACGGCTTTCGGCAAAGTAAGTAATGTTATGGTTTATTTAAACATAGTTTCCCTTCTTGTTTTGATCGTTGTGAACAGAACATTTCATTGCAAAATACTCTCCGTCCGTCTGCTGATGTTTTGTACACACGACTCTTGTGAATATCCGGTATAAAATGAATCCCTCGCAGTCAAAATTGGGGGACAAATTGTTTTTATAGTTTTTATAAGTATAGAATATCTTCCCTCAATCTCATTGCAGTTTCGTTATTGAATGAGATAAGTGTAAGATAAATATGGTATTCATATTAGCGTTTCCTAAGTTCCTCAGCATAATTTGCATATATTCGATATGTGTTTAAAGGAATTTGTGTTGAAATCCTGTATAATTAGTAATTAAGGTTATAGTTTCAAGTTGTTTCCGTGAATTGACTCATAGCAACAATTCTCGTTATTTTTTACATTTTTTTTCACTTACCGATTTTGTAAAAATTGAATATTTTTTATTTTTTGTAAAAATTGAATATTTCTTATTTTTAGGTGTTTGGTCCGAAACGTTCTTGTATGGTGTTTGTGTTTTCCGACAACGCAATAATCAATACAAAAAATACTCTTGTCGAATCCTAGGCATCCTAAAAATTAAACTACAGTCGAAACAATATCTTCCCTTATACTCGTGTGTCTTGGAAGGCTTGTCATCTGGTGGGCTTTTCTGTAACTTGTGGGAGTTTATCTCTGTATGTTGTGTTCACTACAGAAAGCTCACGCGAGCAGTAAATTTGCCGCTCATTTGCTAAGCTCGTTCTTTTCGTGGGTGAGAATAAAAATTCTCATCGGGCATCAAATTCTTCAATAACCGCTTTACTATTCTTCTTCTTTGGTCCTATCTTCCATATACGGAAGTTAGGTGACCCATAACGGGTTTTCTTGGGATAATTTATTCAGGGTGGTTTCCCGTTGCCTTCCCTGATATGATGATGATGATGATGATGATGATAGGGGGTGAAAGGACGCCGCGATCTTTCGGTACGAGATCGCTACGGCACTACTGCCTTAGCGATCTCGGCCACCGGATCGGCGCTTTACTATTAGATGCCGGTTATTCGAGTCACTAATCTGAGGCGGGTGATTAAGATCCAATCAGGAATTAGCCCTCGATCGTACTGTACAGAATAGCCGTCATTTTTTCGCTCTACAAGCATTCCAAGAAATATCAAATCCTAATTTTTGGATATAAAAATCTGCACAAAATTCGAAAATTTTTAATAGTTTTTGCAAGAATCGATTTATTGACAGGCATAACTTTTAGTGTATGATGTTGAAGAAATCAATGTGAATGAAGATGACATGGTTATTCATTGAAAAATATAAATATTAAGGATGATATATAATATTAATATAATATTATATATTACATTTTTAATATACATTTTTACATATACGTATATTTTGATCATTTTTATGTTTTAAAATTGTTCGTTCTGAAACTAATTCTATTATTTACATATGTTGCAATTATAAAAAACTATTATTATTGTACTGAAATGAAGTGTTTATTTTTGGTTTTATTTTAAAAAATTGGTTAACTTTCAATCAATAGTAATGGAAGATTTATGCAATTAAGAAGATTATTTCATATTAGCATAATATATGTGTTGCTTCTACATTATAGGGCCAAACATGTTTTGAAATAATTGTTAAATTTATTAATAAAATAATCAGCAATATTTAATAATAAAACTGAAATTGTGTCGGAATGTAAAATTCATTAGAATAATGTGTTTAAAAAACTTTCCATTGAAATTTTTACTACCACATTATGTATTGTTCCGTTAAGTTTTCCGCTTAAATTTGTAGACACGGCAAATGTAGCGTAAATTACAAAAACCACACATCATAAATAAAGAGCCGCGTATTTCCGCCCTGCGAGCGCCCATGTAACTCCAAATAGTGAGAGAACTCGAAAGGTTATGGATTCCAAGACATGTCGTTGGGAACGGAGCCAGTATAGGTATGGTTTTTGTCCCATCCTTTGGTGTGAATTGTCCCTAAAGATGTTGAAAATGGTTTTTCATTTAAATTTTATCCTTTTAAATTCGAAAATGTCTACTATTCTTGAAAAATAGAATAAGAAACTTTTTATTTTCATACATGTCACTTACGAAGACCGCGTAGGTATATTAATTCTCTGTTTCTAAAATTAAAAGATGATATGACGTTCCGAATGGGTTCGTGATTGATGTGATGGTATTGACACGTTCACATTTCACGTGGACATGTGCCTCACGTATCTCGTTAACGGAATGAAAACACCGATACTCAACTCCGGATTTTAACCACGAACTCGTGAATAGCCAGGTGGCAGTGGCAACTATTTGGCGGGGCCAGCTACAGTTTTGACACCCACGTAATATTATATCACTGTTTTGGCCGTTTGATTACGACGTAAACCCGGGTGTAAACGCGTATCTCATCATTTCACCTCTCTTGCTTCGTCACGACCAGTTCACATTCGTTACAGCAATCACGGGACATCAATATTCATTGCATTTGGATCGATGAAATCAAATATCTGCCTTACGTAGAGAAAACAATGACTTCGAGGTTGATTCAGTTGGGCTCGCTGCATATTCAAATGTTTCAGCCAAATAGCCACAATAATAGCTTGCATCAATCCTGCTGCGTTACATCTACTACCTCTATGTAAAAATTGCGCCTATCCCATTGATCTCGTCCATTATTTCGCAATCGCGGGATTTATGGAAACATTTCTGTTTATTGAGATATCGAATTACATCACGGCGTAGTTCTCAGCCCGGTGCATTACGCTTGATGCATTGTTCACTCTGCGTTTGCCAAGATTCCAAGGCCCACAGTTTACCGGAAGTTTCGCTCTACATCAGAGAAGAACCAT